TATGACTACCCTTCAGATATTTAAATAGCACAATCATATTGCCCCAAGCGTTTTCTTCTCCAGGCTAAGCATCAACATTACTCTCTTTCAAGGCATTTTATCCCTGTCTTGTACTTGACTTTTTGCACCCTAATTCAAGACTTTACATTTACCCCTAGTAACTAGATTCTTCATTTAAGTTTTTGTTACTGCTCATAAACTGACCAAACATAAGAATTTCCATATTCCATAAAGTCCAATTGATTGAAACACCATTTGTAACAAATTTAAAACATTTTCATATAAGTTCAGTAAAGTTTTTTTCTTGATAAAGTCTATTCTAAAATTCAATATACCAAATATAAATTTTTTATTATCAAACCAAATTATAGGTGATGTACATTTTCCTGCTCCTAAACAAGGTGACTGTAAAAGCTATATAGAACGCTAAATTGTTGAATATATATTTGCATATATATATGTATATATATATATATGGGTACATACATATACAAATATGTGTACATATGTGTGCATGAGCATGTATACAGAGCACCAGAATAAGAATCAAAGACTTGGGTTTGAGTCTGGCCCTGCCAAGTTTATTAGCTGTGTGATTTTGGGCAGGTAGCTACATCTCTCCAAATTTCAGTTTCCTACTTCATTAGGCTATTGTGAGATTCAAATGGGATAATGTATGTTAAGTGCTTACTACTATATAAATGTGTTATTAATATATTTACATATTAATATTTACATATTTTACATTTTCTAAAATGTGTATTTTTTCCAGTGGAAATAAAAAGCAGTAAGAAATAGTGGGGTGGTATTCTCTATGGTTTAAAAAGTTCTCATCTCTAGATTTTTCTATGGCATCATAGGGGAGAAATATCGTATCATAGATTTGGAGGTCGCATAATTCAACCTTCTAATTTTACAAATGTGGAAAATGAGACTCAAGAGAGATTAAGTAGCTTTTAATCTAGCACTCTATTATATCACAAAGACTCCATAGTTATTCACTTGCTTGATTTACCAATCCTGGGGAAAGACTACAAAACTTGGGCTCAAGCGTGGCCCAGGTCAAGAGAGGTAAAAATGAACAGTCTCCAGGGAATCCCAAAGCAAATACCAGGGGCAGTTTGAAAGACAGATGAGTGGGATGATCAGAATTAACACAACTTGTCTGCTACACAGAGGGAAAACCAAGTTCAGGGCAAAATGCATTGAGTTCATACCCCAGCCTTGGCATGTGTTGCTTGGCTTCTGGTCCAGCATTGGCTTTTATCAGCATCCACCAACACCCTCCCTAGATGGACTCATGAGGGGCACCAGCTGGGATCAAACCAAGGAAATAGCTTACACCATCATATAAAACTCAAATTTACTTTGGAACACACCTTATCATCTTGCTGTTTAGGCCAATCTCATTGTGCTTCTCATGCTTTCCAACAAATATTTATTCAGCACTAACTATGTGTATAACAAAAGAAGCGGTTCCCATTCTGCATCCCTCTGCTTTTTCCTCCTTTAGGAGTTCACCTTTAAGTAAGTGCCAAGAATTTGTTAAAATCAGAAAATGCTGTTAAAGTTAAAAGAGCACACAAAACCCCCACTAACTCACTGTCAAAAATACATGTGTACTCTTTGTTTTTTTGGGAAGCTGACAGAGCAGTTAACCATTTCAAGTGGCTGTCAAAACCCTAGGAAAATGATGGAAGATGCAAGAGGGGATATGGGACAATAGCCCAAAAAGAGGAAGCTATGGGACACTAAAGGCAAACCTCTTCTATCCACCTAATCCTAATAGGGTGGGTTTCTGTTCTATGTTCATTTGGTTGATGGGAAAATGGATATTTAGCTCCTATATTACGTGACACACTCTATTGGGCTTGTTGGAGTCACTAAGGTGGTCCTGCCCTCAAGGAACAAATGGAAGAAATAAGACATGTACACAAATAACCCAAGTATAAAGCTTAGTGGGATGACCACCATAGAAGGAGTACAAGTAATGCGTTATGGGAGATTGAAGAAGAGAGACATTCTGCATCTCATCTTTTCCATTTGAATGAAAACCCCTATATGTCAGGAATTGTATGTGTTGCAAGACTCACAACAGACCTCTACATGTGTTCCTAGAATGCTCAAACCGTGAATAAAAGGAAAACTGTCAAAGGTCCCGAAGTTTTTGCAAAGGAGAAAAAAGAAAGAGAAAAAAAAAAAGAAAGAAAAGAGGAAAGAAAAGGAGAGAAGAGATACAAGGCTAATTCATATGTCTGTGTCCAAACTTATGAAATAGTAGATTCAAAGGAAACTCAGCCAATCCCTAGATAACCTAACTATTCTGGTATGATATTTCCATTTTTAAAACAAAAAATTCCCTCTATAAATTACACATTTCTGCAGTTGTAAGGATTTAATCATAATGAAAACCACCCTTGTACTTCTGGTAAAAGAAATGAATATTTCCACGTGAACTAGAGATGCAACCAAGTTAATAGCATCCCTGGGGTTAGGTGTCTTGTTCTGACATTCTCAATCATCTTAGGGAGCATGCACTAAACTTGCCTAATACTGCTCATTATCACAAAGCAATCTGTTCTTTGGTTAAAGCATGGTGTAGATTAATGGGTTTATGATTAGTATGGACGCATTTCAAATCCTGCTTGTGGTACTATCTGGGCAAAACATGGGCAAATTGCATAACTTCTTTCGACCCTAGTCTTCTGATCTGTAAAATGGGTACCTGTGATACTTCTTGGGGCTGTTGAGGGGGCCTGGGTGAGATAATTTTTTTTTTGCAATTTGCCTCAGGGTCCTTTACTGTAGCAAGTCGCCTCCATGACCAGTTGTCCCATGGGACAGTTGGGAAGGGACGGGATCATCTTTCCCTACACAGTCATCCACCCAGAGCAGAGATGAAGCATCCATGTAAGGTAGAATTGGGAGAAAAGATGGAGCTAGAAGAGGTGAAATATGCAGGGGGAGAGGGCTGGGTAAGATAATTTTTGTAAGGGGTCTTTGCAAACACTGATAAGCATCAGATCTCATCATTATCCCAGAACCTAGTTCTCATAGCCTTTAAAGCAGAAAATTTCTTTCACACAGAAATTTTGAAAAAAGTTGCTATAGATTATGTGCAGGGGGAGAAAGGGGCAGGGCAGAACTGTGATTTTATCAGTGAAGGAAATTCAGTGCAGAAATTTCCTCCACAAATAGAGATGGACCACTTGTCTGTAACTCATAATCATAGAGCGGCCTGGGGCACTGAGGCTATAGGTCATCGGCCTATAGTTCCCCAGCCACTCTGCCTCAGAGACAGGTCTTTCTGATGCTCATCTGACACTCTATATGTTGTATGTAATCCGTGAATGAATAGTCCGAACAAATACCTCCCTGAACTCTGCAGTAGGTGACGCTCTAACGCATTCCAGCAGCATGATCAGCAGTACCCATCCCCATAAGAACTGCATGTTTTGTTTTTATTTTGTGGCATCTGTGGTTCCTGCATATGACATTGACCTTCTTCCTCTTCAAATTCAATTTCCTTTTCTCTTTCTCACTCTTTTGTGAGAGGGTATTTCAATCAGCCCTGTCCCTGAGCCACCTCAGCTCATCTTCGAGATTCTACTTCCCACTTGGGCTCTTAAATTTCCCCTTTTGTCTTTTCTGAAGGTGCAGGTGGATGCAAACACTCTCCCCGGCCCCAGTGCACCTGAGAGAACCTACACAACACTCCTCTTCCACTTAACCAAAGGACATGGCCTGGGGCAGCAACCAAACTCTTCATTTCAATTCTCTCCCAATGGCAGCACAGTTATTGTTGAGGGCCTTAGAAGAAACACCAAATCGGGGGTGGAGGGCAGTGATAAAAATAGAGTACACATGCATGTAAACTAAGTAAATACATTTTTAAAGTTCAGATTCTTGGTTTGAAAAAAAAGAAACCAGAAAGGGGCGGGGAGGGGAGTGCAGTGGGACTGATTATACATGTATATAAAACAAATTAATAAAACTTAAAGCTTAGATTGTTAGTTAAAAAAAATACATGAGGGGGTGGCCAGTGGGAGGGACAAATGATAAATATAAGTCAGTTAGTATTTATTAAGCATCTGCTATATAAAAATACTTCTTAAAATTTAAATTAAAAATTTTTTAATTTAACATGTAAAAAAGCACTAGACTATTCTGAATAAGAGTTTTCATGGCTCAGAGCCATAGTGAGGGTAACAGTGGTGGTAGTGGTGAGGAAGCTGGGACGATCGAGTCAATGGTCTTGCTTCCTTCCTTTTAGAGAAAGTAGCTACACTGACCTTGATAGGGGTTAGTAGAAGATGAGAGCAAGTCAGAAAAGGAGGACGATAGGAACACAGGATCAGAGTTTTAGAGATGGAAAGGACCTTAAAGACCACAAGTCCAACTCCCTCATTTTACAGCTGGGGAAACTGATGCACTTGTCTAGGGTTTGAAGTATGATTTGAACCCAGGTCCCTCAGCATCTCAGTTAACCACCCCATTCACCACTTAGTGGGTTCTATACCCCCTTATGAGGGTGAACAGCAAAGATAAGGGTAGTGGCATCCAGAACTGGCTCAGCCACAATCCTGCTAAGCAAGGCATCCCTGAGATCCTCCCTGCCCTGGGATTTGCCCCAGCTAAACAAGGTATAAGTCAGGGCTGAATTAAGTTCCCCAGGAGCTGCTGGACACCAAGACTTACCTCAGGCCTTTCCTCAGAATTTATAACTTTAAAAATCCCCAAAGCTATGGTATTATACTAAAATACGTCGAGTTAAAATAATATTAAAACCATCCCTTTTAATGAAAAACATTATTCTATTATTTTACTTGTAAGTTGTTTTGTTTTTTAACATTTAATTTTTATTTTAAGATTTAAAAGTTACCAGATGTGTCTCAGGAGGGACAAGGAAGTGGGATGTTCCTGTCTTCCTTTTTCTGTTATTTCCTGCCTCCCACCCCCCCCACCCCACCCCCACCCCTACTCCCAGGCTCAGCCTCATACAACTGTTGCTGAGGATCCATATTTCGCTCCTGTTCCTATCCCAATGGTCCTCTGTGGTCAATCTTCTTTCTCCAGTGTTCACGGTAAGTAGGTCAGGGATCTACAGCCAGGTAAGGAGTGGAGGACGGAGCTGCCTTTCATTCCCAACACAGGCAGGACTCCCCTCACCTCCAGAGAATAAAAGGGAATATTCTCTGGCTGGTAGAAAGCAAAACAAACAAACAAAAAACCAGGATAGTTTCAATGATACAGGAAACTTCTGGATTAGAAAACCCCTCTTCTAATGCAGGTCAGCATTGCCCAGGGTCATACAGATAATATGTGTCAGAGGCAGAATTTGAAAGAAGGTTTTCCTGGTTCCAAGGTCAGCTCTCTATCTACTAGGGGAAAAAAAGATTATAAAAGATAATGGGAGCAAACAGAAGGTTCAGTAATGTTTCTGTGATCTCATCAAAGCGGGCAGTCCTCCTTAGTACAAATGGCAACCCATCTATTTAGCCTTTCTTGTCCTGTATGATTCTTATCCATGTCCCACAAACGCCTCACCTACTATGCTCAGGTCTCAGGGTCATAAATCTAGAGATGGAAAGAAGTTTAGAGGCCATTGGAGTCAGTGCCCCATTTTACAGTTGAAGAAATTGAGGCCTTGGGAGTTTCAAGTGACTTGTGAAAGGTTGCCTAGTAACTGTCACTGATGAGATCTGAACCCAGATCACCTGACTCCAGTGCTCTTTCCACTGCCTTTTCCTAGGTCTTGTAACATTTCATGAAAGTAGCAGCTAAAATGGTCCAGGCAATCTCTCCCTTACCATAGGATTGACCCCTCTCCTTTTCTGAACAGTCAGAAAACAGTAGCGTTTATAAGTACCCATGGGCGAGGGCAGCTAGATAGCAAAGTGGATAGAGTGCTGGTGGGACTGGAGTCAGGAAGACTCCTCTTCCTGAGTTCAAATCTGGCCTCAGACACTTAATAGCTGTGAGACCCTGGGCAAGTCAGTTCACCCTGCTTGCCTCAGTTTCCTCATCTGTAAAATGAGCTGGAGAAGGAAATTCAAATAACTCCAGAGTCTTTATCAAGAAAATCTCAAATGAGATCAGGGAGAGTCACATACAACTGAACAACAATAACAGGTGCTGGGTACCGTGCTAAGCATTGTGGATACAAAGAAAGGCAAAAAACAGTTGTTGTCCTCAAGGAGATAACAGTCTATCAGAAGAGACCGCATACAAACAACTATACAGAGGATACGTGTGTGTACATATATGATAAATTTGGGGTAGTGGCAAAGGAAGGTACTAAGATTACTTAATAGTATATCAGAACATTAATGTAATCATTTTATGTTATATAATAATATATGCCTTTTCAAAATAAAATGTGAACAATTTGAACCTTATGGCTTTATGTATGATTACTTTTATTTATTTAGGCAACTGGGGTTAAGTGACTTGCCCAGGGTCACACAGCTAGTATCAAGTGTTTGGTCTGAGGCTGGCTTTGAACTCAGGTCCTCCTGACTTCAGGGCCGGTGCTCTATCCGCTGCGCCACCTACCTGCCCTTACTTTTATTTATTTTAAAAAATAAAAGTACTAAGATAATAAAATAAAATAATAAAGTAATAAAATAAAATAATAAAAATAAAAGCAATCATACATCAAGTTTCTCCTATATCCTTTCCTATAAGACCATTTTAAAATTTTACTTATTAATTTGAATAATTTATTTTTGTTGGTGATATGGATCATTAATATAGTATAGATATTCGGAGAGAACAATTCTTAAAAATTCTTTGTTCTGGAGGTGTATGGGTGCCTTTATCTAGTTGATAAATTGGATTGGAGCAAATCCAACCTTACTGGTAGAAGATCGATCTTTATGTACCAGTGGAAAGAAATTTTCTCATCAGGCATGGCTGTGTCACCAACGGAAAAGTTCTGTTGATCTATTAATTGGAAGAATTAGATTCATGTTCCTGCCCTCCTTACCAGAGGTAAGAAGTCTCTGAATCAAAAGCTATTTTCAGCAGTCCATCTATGTGTACTGTACTGCCAACCTTTCATAAAGGTAGAAAAACTTGACCACATCCTTGTCTCCAAAAAACCTCCCAGTTTATTGCTGAGTCCATCCTTCTCCCAGAAAACAAAGCAATATATTACACAAAAAAGCAAAATGCACAAGATCAATTTTCTTGATGGAGACTCCAAAAAATAGTCTGACTATTCCTGGGTAAACAAAGAGAACGAAGAGGGGTTTGTTTGCATATATAAAACCAAACTCAGTTCTCCATCCCCTGAACTGGCCAATGATAGACCCATTCTCGGGGCGGGGCGGGGGGAATGTCTGTATCTCAGGTGGGATGCAAAGATAGCAGAACAACCAGCACCCTCACACAATGAGAACCACCCTTCCCCCAATTCCATAGAAACAACGGAGTCCTAATAGATTTGTACTCTGACCCAAAAAGACGGGAGAAAAGAAAAGGGTGACGTATGAATCAGTTATTTCTCCAGGGTTTGGGGTTTTTGTTGTTACTGTTGGTTTAGTTATTGCCTTTATTTCATCAGAAACACAGACCCATTTTTCTTGAGGACAGAACAACAAGGACAATAAAACTCTCAGCAGGGAAAGAACTGGCAATTTTTTCTGCAAATTATTCAGAAAGCCTGGATGGCATGGGGATGAAACAAAATGGGGTAGTGGAAATAGCATGAGGAGACTTGGGTTCAAATCCCAGTTCTACCACTGACTGGTTGTGTGACCTTGGACAAGTCATTCCCCTTCTCTAGGTGCTACTATAAAATGAGGGTTTGGACTAGATAGGGGTTCTTAACCTGGGGTCCGTGAACTTATTTTTTAGACACTATTTAGATAACTGTATTTCAGTCCAGTTGATTTCCTTTATAATCTTATGTGTTCTATGCATTCTAAAACATTTTGGGAAGGGGCCATAGGTTTTCACCAGCCTGCCAAAAAGATCTATGATATAAAAAAAGGTTCAGAACTCTTGTTCCAGATTACCTCTGAGGTTCTTTGTTGTCATTCTTATTGTTTCATTCTGAACTTAATAAACACCGAATAAAATGAGCATTTCCCTATATATTATGGATTAGAAGAAGATGACACATGAAAGTGATAATCTGTTATGCAGTGCTTGTCTGTCTTTTAAAGCATACAATAAATTCAACATGTAATTTTCATAGCTGTCCTGTTTGTTTGGCCTTCTTTCTGTTTTTTCCTCATTTGGAGAAGGGGGAGGAGACCCTATTCCTAACCATCCTCTCCCTAACCCCTCTAGAAACAAAAAGAAAAAGAAAACTCTTGTAACAAATATACGTAGTCAAGCAAAACAAATTCCCACATTGCCCATGTCCAAAAACACATGTCTTTCTCCGCATCTTGAGCCCATCACTTCTCAGTCAGGAGGTCCATAGCATGATTCATCATGGGTCCTCCTGAATCATAATTGGTCATTGCATTGACCAGAATCTCAGAGGTTCCTTCCAGTTACCTAAAGCCTATGATTCTGGAAAGGTGTCTAAGCTAGGTGTCCCTCAACTCACCAGAAAGATAGACCCTAACAGAAGCTGGATCCCAATAATTAAAATGATGCAAAAGCATAGCAGAGTCTCTTAATGGATTCAGAGCTCCTTTAAAAAGACAGGCCTGTGGCACTTCTCAATTCCCTGGTTGTTAGGAGCTGAATGAGTCTCCCAGTGCAGAAATTGAAAGCACTAGAAGTCAGCAGTTCTGAAATACTGCAGAAAGGGCTTGTTTACATTTTTTCCCCTTTCAGGCTGAAACACGTCTATTTAAATTTTAACCAGAGACAATTATAAAACCATGGTAGGCCAGAGACAGCAGCCAGCACAAGCTGGATGGCAGATTCCAATGGCTGAGGGAAGGGGGAGAAGTAGGGAATGATCTCTCCATCTTTTCTGAACTAAGAGAAGAGTGAATAAAAGGGCAAGTGGAGAAGGAAGAAGGGAAGAGCAGAATAAGCGCTTAGCTGTAGGATGTGGAAGCAAGAGGTGCTGCCCAGGCTCCAGCACTTCTTACATCAAACTGAGAGAGACCAGGACATCCGGGCCAATGGGCCAGAGTCTGAGCCATAGCCCCAGCACCAGATTTCCACTGCTGACAATAACTGAAGCCTCTGTGGTTTATATTCTTATTCTTTTCCTGGGTCAAAAGTGTATTAATGCAAGGAATCAGCTGATGAAAGAGGCCTGCCATTACTAGGCAGCCAGCTGGAACAGACATTTCCGGCCCTCAATGACACCAGCCCTTTTCCCCGAAGGCCAAGCCTCCTCTCCACTTCAGGCTTTCCTGGCAGGACTCCCACTTCTGGGATATGCCAAGCATTTCCATGACATCATAGGAAATCCCCCACTTGGAAAAGGACCCCCATCCAGTTATCATGACCTTGCACTGATTAGTATGGGAGGTCCCAGATCCTAAAGGACTGAGAAAACCTAAAGCAGAAATTCAGAGAGGCATTTCTTCTCATTGGAAGGGCTTGATTTACCTAGGAATCTGTAAATTGTTAGCCCAGCACATACAGTAGGTAGTCACCTATGGGGAATCATTGGAGGTGAATCAAAAATGTCTCCCCTGTCTAATGGGGAGAAATTCCCCACTAGAGATTCCCTCTTTGGTTTTTTGAAGGCCTTATCAGTGTCCTCTGTTGTAGAGGTTAACTTCCTATTCACCAAGTTCACATTTTTGTTGTTATTCTAGATCTATGATTTCACTAGAGTAGGGAACTTCCAGTAAGAGACTCTCCCTGCTAGGGGAGATTAGAACCTTCTCTGCAAGTACAGGGGCATTGAAAGTTTAAATGACTTATCCAGTATCTCAGAACCAGTCTGTGTCAAAGGTACAATTTGGTTTTTGGTTTTGTTTTGTTTTCTTTTCTTTTGGGAAATTGGGGTTAAGTGACTTGTCCAGGGTCACACAGCTAGTAAGTGTCAAGTGTCTGGTCTGAGGCTAGATTTGAACTCAGGTCCTTCTGACTTCAGGGCTGGTGCTCTATCCATGCGCCACCTAGATGCTCCCTTCAAAGATACAATTTGAACCCAACTCTTCCTGGTTCTAAGGCCCAGACTCTATCCATCCCACCATGCCATCTTTCTGCTTAATTTTCTCTGTTACCCAAGATAACAAGATGAAAGATGAAAATATTGATGATATTAGGGGTATCTCACTTTCCATTTTTTGGATAATGAAGTAGGCATGTTCATGGGTAGCATTAAGCTACCCATTAACATGGGTAGCAATTAACCTACCAAGGGGGAGTGTTATGAAGTGTCCCCAGATAGTGCCCCTATCCTTCGCAAAAATCCCAGAGAGCCTGCCTCTCCCTAAACTAGCTTCTTCCACTACAGGAATGTTCCTCAAAGGGCCACAGTTTCCTGTGATAGACATAGGTTGGATTCTACTTCATGCAATACTGTGAACCTAGAAGAGGGAGATGGACCTTCTTCCCAATCTGACCTCTGGCAGCAAAGCTTCTAAGGTAGACAGGTATTGTATCCAACGTGAATAGGCAGAGCATCACCTGTAAGGAGGTGGAAGCTAAGAAGAAACATATGATTAAGATGGCTGAGCATGGGGCCTACTTTCACTGAGAGTAGGCAGGATTTTGGAAGTTTGGGCTCTTAAATGTCCTTCCTGTTGCTCTCTTCCTTTAACACTGATAGGACCAGGCAAGTCAAGTCAATGTTTTTATTGATGAAGTCTACTTTTACCCCTGCTCTCGTCCTTTACTACTGTGAAGGGAGCAGAGAGACAGGAGCCTGATGGTTTTGTCCCCCCTCACCATCTTCCATTTATCCATTGTAGTCTCTCTCCATCTCTCTCTCTCTCTCTCTCTCTCTCTCTCTCTCTCTCTCTCTCTCTCTCTCCATCTCTCTCTCTCTCTCTCTCTGCCCAATGAGCCTAGGAGAGACAGTCCAGAACCATTCTGCTTATAGGAATAATTGTGTGCCATATGTTTAGGATTATTGTCCAGGACCACATTTTGCTTATTATAGAAGTCATTACTTGGGGGTGTATATATTATCAAACTAAGAATTCCCCTGATAGTCCCTGAACTATGTGCTTGTTAGTTTAATTTATACTATATTAGCATGTTCACTACTTTAGCTAAGAATTACCCTTTAGTCTCTATCCTGATAACCTCTATTAAATATTTTTTTTCTGGAGCAAAATTTTATAGCTTTATTGGCATGCTAAGACAGAGGCCAAAAGATCTCAGCAGTACTGACATAGCAATGGATTTAAGAGCACAGCAGGTGCAATAGCTCGGAGAAGTTGGGAGGTTGAATCCCAGGCCAGCAGTCTCTTTAACAGTGATATTGTCCTATATGAAGTATAAAAGTATTGTCACCTGTGGATAAGGCTTCTTTCCCAACACTGAAGATGGCTCCTTGATGGAGTATGAGTTATTTTTGTTTTGGGTACTTTTAGGCCCAGTGGCATCACATTAAGATCTAAATATTTACTGGGTATGGGTAATGGCCTAAATTCAAGAAGTAGTGACTTAATATCTAGGATTAATTTTCTAAGTGTCAACTTCCTGAGAAAAGTCAACCACTATGGGGATAAGATTTACTGTATTTTACTGCATAATCATTGCACATTCTAATGCCAATTTTTCTGCAAAAAAAATGGGGTGCAATCATTATGTGAAGCTTTAAAAATTGTGCCAGTATTATTTAAAAATCATTTATTACTAAATTGTCTTTGGTGCAACATTAGGATGCATGGAATACTTGTGAATATATGTTAAAATTGAATACTGAGAACATGTGTGTACTGAGAATTCTAGGCTAGAAGCTCGCAATGCATGAGAGATAAATGCATATTCATATGCCACTGGTAAATACATTACTGCTCTGATTACCTTTTAAGCGGCGTGAGGAACACAATTATATCATGCAACAATTATGTGATCAAAGGTTATGAACCAATTTTTGGACTAAAAAAACAGTGTGCAACAATTATGCAGTGGTGACGATTATGCAGTGAAATACGATAGTACAGACACCTAGAGGGTAGAAGGAGAAAGTTTGAAAAAGTTCTCAGGAAAGGAGAAGATTACAAATGGGAGAAGAGAGGGGCCAAAGATAAACCTCAGATTCATAAAGCCCAAGTAATGCTTGGTCTGCCTCTACCTAGGGACAAGGGATAATATGGGTGCCAGCAATCTTAATTCTTTCTTCATTTCCATTAGTTTAAATTTTTACCAAGTGAAAATCTTTTGGAGAAACAAAGAGCAGAAGCCTGAGACGTTCAGCAAAGTGGATAAGGTTTCCTAGTTCTAAGTTAAAGAGTCCATAATCCTTTACTCTTCCAGAGTAACAGACTGTACTTGTGGCCTCCAGCAACTATCTTAAACTTTGTGCCACTGATCCCAAGGGGGACCAGATGGTGTGGGTTGCTCAGTGCAAACTCATCCCCACTAACAGAAAAACAAACTCAAGTCAATGTTCTTATTGATGAGGAGAAAAGGAATGAGTCAGCAAAGATGTCTTCATGTAATATATATATATATATATACACATACACACACACACACACACACGCACACACACTCTTCACGAAATGAGGACTTAATTTCCTAAAGTTGGTTCAGAATGGATATTCTTTTACTAGTCTCTGACTTCGGCAGAAGGAAGTTGTGCTCAGTTTTCTGCCTCCTTCAAACTGTACACCCATATTGCATTGATCAGTCTGAGACAATTGTCTAAGACAATTCACAGGTCTATGTATAGCCTAATATCCCTCTAAAAGATTCAGCTACCATGGCAAGTTCAGGGGAAACACTGAACAATGTAGCAGGGGATCTCCCCAAAAGGTTTCTCAGGGAATTACTTGCCTATGAAGTGACTTATACTGCTATTTGCTTTTCTCTGTATATTCTTAGCAGAATGCCTTATATATACATGAATATGAGAAGATTCTGTGATTTCATCACTGCAGGGAATTTTCTCCACCAATGCAAATTTCTATCCATCTGTGACTTGCTAGATAAGTGCAAGGCACCATCTGAGACACACAGAGTTTAAGGGACTTACCCAAGGTCACATAGCCAGTAAGTGACAGGGGCAGAATTTGAACCAAGTCTTCTTACTTCCAGCCTAGCACCCTTTGCCATACATCTTCTTTGCACGTAGTGGGCATTTAATAAATGCTTGTGGAATTGAATTGAATTCCAAGAGGTAGGAAGTGAATAAGAATGGCTTTCTACTCTTAGAAATTGTTTCAGCCTGCTCAAAGGAGGGGGTGTCAACATTAGACATTGTTTACTGCTCCACTTGTAGATCAGTTCTAGAAGTGTAAGTTTGGCTTCAAAGAGTTGATTTGGAGAATCCCATAAGACTTAGACAGTTCTAATATCGACCTGGACTTCACATCTAGAAGAGCAAGGTTCTATAGATACCTCAATGCATTGGAACTGGCCAGACTTTGAGTTGTGACCTTCAGTGGATTTGAATGGTAGATTAGCCCCAGAACTCACTTGGTAACTCAAAAGTCCCTTAGACCAAGGATGACTTAGGGATAGATAAGGCCCCACTCTGACCTCATCCTTTAAAGTCTTCATTTTTATGACCTTGGTGCAAATTTACCTTTTTAAACTAGCTTCTACTGAAGGGGCTGCATGCAACCACATTAAAGCTTCTAACTCTCTCTCTCTCTCTCTCTTTCTCTCTCTCTCTCTCTCTCTCTCTCTCTCTCTCTCTCTCTCTCTCTCTCTCTCTCTCTCTCTCCCTTCCTCCCTCCCCCTGCCCCTTTCTTTTATGCTTAGTCACAATAGCCGTGGCTGGTTTCTTGCTTGAATATTTTTAATAAACTTTATAAGCTTAATAATGTAATGTGTATCCCAAAATAGTTTATATATGAAAAATGAAATTATAAAAATTCCAAGGGTAGAAATATAAATCTAAGATCAGTTATCAGGCACAGTGCCACAAAGAGTTCCTATTTCATTCATTTACATAGCCTTTGCTGTTTTTGTTTGGGGCCCCTCTTTTCCTTCCTACCCAAAGTCCTGCCACATTGTATAGCTCCTGCATCCACTTGTCAGAACCTCCATTTTCACTCATTACAGTGAGTCTGCTAAGTGCAGGTCCACTGGGCTGGACAGCAGGCATGAGTCTGGACTGGTTTTTCTGTTTTGGGCCACATGCCAGTAATAGATTGCAATTTCCGCAGGTGCGTGGTGAAGGGGAATGGTGATCACTTCCAACACCATACAACCTTCACCTTTATGAAGCACAAAGAATCAAAAGTCACAAAGAATACTCTGTATATTAGTAATATTATAATTCTTATATGTCCTATCAATGATAGAAAAGAGTCCCTAAAGACTTTTAGAAAATAAACATTTGCAATACTGATAGGTTCTCCATTCATTTCAGGAACAGAGGACTGCAATCTAAAATCCTAATATGTTACAGATGGAAGGGACATTAGAGTTCATCTAGCCCAGAACCCTTATTTTATAGATGAGGAACTAAGTTTTAGAGAACTTAAGTGATTTGGCCAAGGTCACATAGAATTTAATAGTAGAACCAGGATGAGAACCAAGACTTTATTGTATAATACTACTTCTGTAAAAGGAGTGGTGGAGGGAGACCCAGAGTATTAGGGAAAAATATGTCCCCTAAAAAGGAATAAGGGAAGAAAAACCTGATACTTGATGGGGAGGAGGTTTGTTCATTTCAAGATTATTTTTCAGTGATCTTTATTAGGGATGATGAGTCTTGGTTTCCTTGTAATTACTGCTGCTAAATGGGTAGGCATTCTCCTCTGTCCATGGTCCTATTCCTGGGGTCTGAAGTCTCTTCTTGGAACAAATCAGGGAAGAGAATACAGGGAGGTAAGAAACAGAGATTTGCTTTTCTGAAGGCACTGGAGTTTGCTGAGTAGTGCTATGATGAAATGTACACAAGAACTTATTTAAGTTACCACAGGGGTTGGGTCCTTGCCAGACAGTGGTCCTTAGCTTCTGAAAGGGAAATCTGTTAGGAAGTCAAGATGTGTAAGTAAGGGCTGAGGGTGGCTAGGAAAGGAAGTCAGCCTGCTCCAGCATAAAGAAAAAAATGCTAGAGATCTGAGTGACATATTGAAAACTGCCCTGGGAAGTTGACTTTGGAAGAAAACCCAAAGGCTTGGTCAGGTGAGGCTTAAGTAAAAAGATATAGCTGTTGCCAGAGATGGTGAAAGAGAGAGCTCAATCACTGTCCAGCAGACAGGGGCTTTTCTCAGACAGCAGTCCTCCACAGTAGCAAATAATGCCTAAGGGATTAAGGAATAGTTATGGTGAGCCTTGTTTGATCCAAATGGCTTTATCATTTCTCCAGATTTTCATACTTTCAAAAGGCTTCCTTATGATCTATTCCTTTCATTGCTTTTTCACATATCCCTAAAAGGTGATTATCATTCTATTATAGCATGAGGGAAGAGTGCTGAAGTTGATGCAAAGTCCCAAGACACATAACCATTAGTCAGTATTTTTGCTAAAGTTGTTGGGCATGAAATTTCATAGAATCATAGATTTAGAGCTAGGAGGTACCTGTGAGGCCAACTAGTTCAACCTCATCTTTTTATAGGTGATGAAAGAACAGTCCTCCAAATGTACCTCACAATACGCATATGTACAGGCATATAGGAGGAGCATATAACATTGGGAAAATGTGGTCCTAGTCACAAATGACTTACAATTTAACACATAACATTTTAAAAATTGACGCAGAAATATAAAGAAAGACATTGAAATAGAGTTATGTATAGGGGAAATTAGAGGTGGATAGAAGAGTCCAGTAGAAATCTGGTGCATTTGGAGATTTGGAGTCAGAGATCTGGATTTGAATCCTGGCTCTGTCATCTGTGGGACTCTAAAAAGTCATTGAGACAAGTCACTGGAGCCTCTCTGAGCCTCAGTTTCCTTTTTCATAAAATAAGGGGATTAGATTAGATGGCCTTTCAGGTCCCTCCCAGTTCTATATCTATGTTCCTGTGATCCTGATCTTGCCATTGATTGACTGAAAAGGCAGACAGGAAGGGCATTTAAATGACAGTAGGATGGATGACCTGAGTTCACTTACTAGCTGTGTGACCCTGGACAAGTCACTTAACTCTGTTTGTCTCAGTTTCCTCATCTGTAAAATGAGCTGGAAAAGGAAATGGTGAACCACTCCAGTATCTTTGCCAAGAAAACCCCAAATGGGGTCATGAAGAGTTGGACACAGCTGAAATGACTGAACAACAACAACAACAGCAACAACAAAAATGTTGATGGAATGAATGGAGTCAGGGAAAGAACCAAAGCAGAGAAATTAATTGGGGGAATCAAAAAGCAGGAGATAATGATGTGTTTAGTCATGAGTGAAGCCTTTTGGCAAAGGTTGTCTCAGTTTGGAATTAGGACTCAGTATAATGGTATAGCTGAAGTCAATTTTATAGATCTGGCTATTCACCCTCACATATTAGGAGTCACAGCTATTTTTTCCTCTGATGAAATTTTTTTCTTTTTTTTAAATTATGAACTTAACAAGAATCAATAAACATGAACATTTTAATATACAAAAAAGAACAGAAAAAGAAGATTGTATATGATACCATGAATCTCACTTCTATAAGTTTGTGTGTATATGTATTGTGTGTATATGCATATATACATATACAAACATATATAATATTTTATACACCTATGTGTATGTGTGTATGTATGTATGTGTGTGTGTATATATATATATATATATATATATATATATATATATATACACACACACATATATTGCATCAAGACAACAAATGACTTACTCTCAGACCTTTCTTTCCTTTTTTCTTTCCAACATAGTCAAATGTAGAAATAGCAAATTTAGAGAAAGATAGATGTCACAGGAGAAATTTCTTTTTAAAAAATTTTAATTGGAAATTCTAAGAGAAATGTAAACATTGACATATTTTTAAATGGTCTTTATGGAACAGAAGTCATTGTTTGTTGAGAAACATAAATATATTATGTATAAAACTTAACTTGCTCCTAAAAATGATCATATTTGCCACTGTCCTGTTTGCTATATTTAGAGATATGAAGGACTAAAAAAGATGGAATGATTTGGGGGAGAATTTTTTTTCAGTTTTATTTAATAATTTTTTGAATTCCAAATTTTCACCCCATCTCCCCCTTCCCCCCACCCCAAGATGGCATGCATTCTTAATATCCCTTCCCCTAGTCTGTCCTCTCTTCTATCTCTCTCCCTTTCTCTTATCCCTTTCCCCTTCTATTTTCCTGTAGGGCAGGATAGACTTCTGTACCCCATTTCCTGTATTTCTTATTTCCCAATAGCATGTGAAAACATTTTTTTTAAACATATGTTTTTAAAACTTTAGGTTTCAAATTTTCTCACTTCCTCCCTCCCCACCCACCCTCATTGAAAAGGCAAGCAACTCAATATAGGTTGTACATGTGCAGTTATGCAAAACACGCCCATAGTAGACATGTTGTGAAAAACTAACTCTACTTCCCTTAATCTTATCCTGCCCTCCCATTTATTCTATTCTTTCTTTTGACCCTGTCCCTCCTCAGAAGTATTTACTTCTGATTACCCCCTTTCCCAATCTGCCCTCCTCTCTATCATCCCCCTGCTCTCTTGTCCCCTTCTCCTCCTATTTTCCTGTTGGGTAAGACAGATTTCCATACTTCAGTTATATTTAAAAAATTTATTTGGAGGAAAAAATATGAAAAGCCTATAGGGGAAAATCTGAGAAGTTTTTTTTTCTCTATTAAATTCCTAGCTTATTTTTCTTGAATCTCACATTTCTAAAAGTATTTTCTTTTCTCTTTCATAACTGTGTATTTTAAACCATCAAAGAACTAGAAATGAAGTAGATGTCCACTGAGTGGGGAAAGAACATCATAGAGTAGTAATTCATCATAAGAAATGATGAATATGAAGAATTCAGAAAAGAATGGGAAAATCTGTATGGACTGATACAGAATGAAGTAAACAGAAGCAGTAAAACAGCATACACAATAACAAAAATATAAATGGGAAAAAAAAACAATCAGACTGAATACTGTGTAATTATAATGACCAAGCTTGACCCTAGAGGAGAGATGAGAAAAAAATATATTTTCTCAACTAGCAGAGGTGGAGGATTATGGATATGGAACAGTGTGTTTATGTTGAGACACTGCCAATATATTGGTTAGGTTTGCTTAACTGCTTTTTTCTTTTTAAAGGTATCATTTTCACCTGGAAAGATTTACATGAACTGATGCAAAGTGAAGCAAACAGAACCAGAAGAACAGTGCACACAGTAATAGCAACACTGTATGATGATCAACTATGATTGACTTAGCTCTTCTCAGCAATACAACTATCTAAGACAAATCCAAAGGACTCATGATGGATAGTATTTTCTATCTACCTCCAAAGAAAGAACTGATGGGAGTCTGAATACAGATGGAAGCAAACTATTTTCACTTTCTTTGTAGTTTTTTCTTTTGTTCTGTTTCTTCTATACAATATGACTAATATGGAAATATGTTTTACATGTTTGAATATATATAACCTATATCAAATTGCTTACCATCCTAAGGAGGAAGGAGAAGAAGAAGGAAGGGTAAGAAAGGAGGGGAAGGAGGGAAGGAGGGAGAAAATTTGGAACTCAAAATTTTACCTTAAAAAATGTTAAACATTTTGTCTTTACACGTGATCAGAAAAAATAAAATACTATTTAAAAGAAAAAAAACCTATTATTTTCAAAGGCCAACCTATGCCACTCTCTCCACACTTAGAATAACCAGTTATCAATGAGTATACTCAAGGCTATATATACTTAAGGCTATAGACTAGGCAAAATGGCGAAGTAGGAGAAGTTTACCCCCAGCACACACTATCCTCCTTTTGATGCTTCCCTTAAACCTTCCACATTCCTTACCACCCTCATCCCTCAGGTGGGTGTCTATTTCCTTTTGCCCCACTTCCCCTGATCCCTTCTCAATGCAGTGCTCCATTTAACCCTGCCCTGGAGGACAGTACCCCAAGATTTGGGACACATACACACATATGCTTCCATTACCTGCCAGATGTGCTATGACAAAATTAGGAATTTACAATTATAGTTCATCCATAGTAACTTCATGAGATCTGTGGTTTCATCATTGTGTGTGCTCCCTCCACTAATGCAGACTGCAACCCCTCCACATCTTAGCTGACAGATTCCATGAGTTGTTTGGGCCTCCTAAATCCATCACCAGGCAGTCACCTTTCTATTGACTCTATTGATGTACTTTTCCAAATTCAGCTCAGCTCGGCCTAGGGTGACACAATTTGTTCCTAGGCCTGTACTTAAAGCCTATCCAGCTTGGTAGTCAAGTCAAACCAGCAAGAATTCATTAAGCACTCATTCTATTCTGGGGGCTGTGTGAAGTGCTGGGGATACAAAAACAGACAAAAAGAAAGACATTCCTTGACTTCAAAGAGCTTACATCGTAATTGGGAAAGCTAACACATAAAATGGAGCTGAGAAAAACCTTCACAGAGCCTCAGTACAAAATCGGAGAATGAAAGATGGATGGCTGGGCCCTTTCTCAAAATGGAAATCTTGGGGAGAACTCACAGCTGGGAGAAGGGTGCCCCAAGGGAGGGAAGGAAAAGGCAGCTGAGGCAGAGCGGTGAAGTGCTGGCGTGCCACTGTCACAGCTTGAGGATACTAGGGACAGTTCTACAACAGAGGAAGACTTTAGTGGGGGGACTATTGTGCTATGAAATAAAAATATTGGGAAGTTCGGGTGTCAAGGGAAATGTTAAAGACAGTATACAATGGTAAAAAGAGAATCCTGAGGGAGGGATTCAGTAGAGCTGGGTTCAAGTGTCAGCTCTGGCATTTAATTTTACCCATTCCAGTGACCTTGGGTAAGGTCTCCTCTCTGGACCGCAGTCTTCTCATCTGTAAAATGACTAAGCTGGATTAAAAGATCTCTAAGAGCCCTTCCAGCTCCCACATCATTATTATTAGGACATTTGGTGCATTGCTCCCTGGTGATAGTGACTGCAGCAGACAGCAAAATGCTCCTCTATTTAAAAGCTCTGCCCCCAAATACCTCCCACAATTTATTCACAAGGGGTTCCTAGCCTTTGAGATTTTCTGAACTGGCACACAGAACGTAACAGAAGGACTTTCACTTTCAAAGGTACTTTGTCGCTAGAGTTCATTTTTACAAATGCCTTGGGAACATTTCTCGTCTGAACAAGTCCTAGGATGCAGGACACCTGGGGTCTCTTTTTATTATTTCTGGATGATATAGTTGAGTTCCTGAATGACCTTTTCTCTGCTGTTTCTGCTCCTGTCCCCAGGCAACTTTCCCACTTGTAAAATAAAGATGACAGGGAAGGTAGAGTATTGTGTGGCCATGGTTAAGTCACTTAACCTATCAGTGCCCCAGGCAACTCTCAAAGACAAGTTACAGAGGAGACATTCACCTGCATCTGTAGAGGAAGTTTCCACACTGGGATTCCCCTACACCTGAGGAATCACATATGGAGACCAAAAATTGAGAAATAAAGATAATAGCATGTGACTACTTCTAAATCATGGTCAGGCTATTAATATAGTGCTTTGAGTTCTGCAGAAGAGAAAGTACAATATAAATTATTATTATTACTTCCCATAATGCTCTGGATTTTCATTAGTTTTCATTAGCAATTTTATTAATACTTAATTTCATTAAATTATTAATTAAATAATTGCCAATGTATTAAAACATAAACATTAAGGAATTAGATTTTTTTTTCCCTATAATCAGATCAATTTTTTTTCTTCATAACCAGTGGAATGCCTTCAAAACACTGAGATAGCTACCGGAGAGGGTTAATACTCATTTTAAAGGGCCACACTGTTCTATCAGTTTATTGTATAGAAATGTAGCTTTGAGGGTAAAGGTTTTATTCTGTAGTTTTCTCCAAAGATTGTCTCTATAATAATTGCATTCTCCTATGTACTATACGTATTATATTGTAGCTTGGCTTTGTGGGCCCTTCCTTTTCTTTCTTCCTTCACTTTAAGTGAATTGTAGGAAGGGTCACTGGGTATGTTGGCTTTATTGTTGGCAGCTAGATAGGGAAAGTGGAGTTCAAATCTGGCCTCACAAACTTATTAGCTGTGTGACCCCGGGCAAGTCATTTAACCCTGTTTGCCTCAGTTTCCTAATCTGTAAAATGAGCTGGAAAAGGAAATGGCAAGCCACTCCAGTATCTTTGCCAAGAAAACCCCAAATGGGGGCATGAGGAATGACTGAAAAGCAACTAAACGACAGCAAAAGGAAGAGTCACAGGGCATATCTGCTTTAGGAATTCCTTAAGTCACTGCTTCACTTGGGATGGGGCTGGTACCTACATACAGTGAAGTGGCAGCCTTAGGAAAGCTTCATATATAGAATAACAAGATGCTAGAATTGGAAGTAACTTTGGAGATCATCTATCTCAATTCCCCTTCCACATGTATATGTATAAGAATGTGTGTGTGTGTGTGTGTGTGTGTGTGTCTATATACACACGAATAGAAGCCAAGGCCCATAGAGACAACATAGCTTGCTCATACAGCTCCTAACAGTCAGGGGCAGGGCTGGTACTCAAACACCAGGTCTTCTGTCCCCAAATCTAGTACATCATTATACACAGCTAGGAAGTGTCTGAGGCCACGTATGAACTCATGAAGGTAAGTGTTCCTGACTGCAGGCATGCTGCTCTAGCCGCGTGCCACCTCGCTGCTCTCCCTATAAAAATCACCTCCCATCCACTCTGTATGTATTTTTCATGTACTATTTTCTTTACCTGTTGTCTCTCATTCTAATGGAATATAAACTCCTTGAGGACAGGGATCATTTTTACCTTTCTTTGTACCCCTAGTGGTTAGCACAATTCCTGGAACTCAGTAACTATTTAATAAATGCTTGTTGGATGACCAAAAAAAATGGCAATATAGCAGAGAACTTTGAATGCCTATGGTTTTTAAGATTTGATCATCATTCCAACCAGACAGACTTTAATCTGAGAATTGTGGTCCAAGTGATTCCTAATCATCACATTGAGATGCCAGAGGGTAAAGTAGCTAGTGAGTGGTAAAACCAAAGCTAGGGTGAGCCCAGTGATCCCAAAGCCACGAGGGAAAGAAGGAATGCAGATTCAAAGTCTATAAACAAGTCCTGAAGTCAATAAAGGTGTGTGTGTGGGGGAACTTCTGTCGGTGAAGTCAGGGCCAAGAATACAAACAGAACCTAGGATGACTAAGGCAATGTGCTATCTAAAGTTGTTGATGGCTAAGTGAACTCTATCTAACCTCACTCAGGTTCTTAACTCCATTCATCCTTAACAAGGGTTTGGAGCAGCTATATTTACATAACAATGGGGCATAGACAATGGGGAATTCTTGATTGTTTATTGGAGAGTTTCCTAAATTTTTCTGCTTGGAGGTTTGATCCAAGTGAAGTATAAGTCCTCACCCCCTCAAACTTTAATGGGGAAATCCTCAAAAAATGCTTGGTAATAGATATATAGATCACACTTAGAGATCCCTTAGTCTATCTCCCTTGTTTTACAGACAAGATTTAAACCCAGGTCTTCTAAATTCAAATCCAATGCTCAGATGCTGTTCCTTTCCATTTGTATTTCCATCTTAGAAAGTCTGACCCTTCACCCTAGACTTCATTCCTCTTCTGAGATCATTGCCAACTGCCCCCTGGACATCTCCACTGGCATCTCAAACTTAACACATCTAAAACAGAGTTCATCCTTCTCCCTAAAGCCACCCTTCCTCCAAACCTCTCTGCCCACCATCCTTCTTTGCCACTTTGAAATCAGTATGGACTTGTCATTCTGCCTTACCTCTATATCTAGTAAGTTTCCAGGTCTTGCTGATTCTTCTTCTACCAATATATATGTTGTTTCCCTCTTCTTTCCCTATATACTGCTATGGTTTGGGTACTTAATATCTCTTTACTAACTGATCTTAACTCAAATCTTTCCTTTCTCCAATCCATTCTCCACACAGTTACCAAATTAGTATTCCTAAGGACAAGGCTGGACCTTGTCACTTACCTGCTCAGAAAACTTCAGAGGGCTCCTATGGGCTCTAGAATACAACACAAAAACCCGAACCTGGCATTAAAGCTCTCAACTGTCTAGCTCTCATCTGCCTTTCCAGACATTTCATGTTACTCTCAATTCAAACACTCCAATGTCAAGTCAGATTAGCCTTCTTATCTGTTTCCAAACTTAACA